CTAGGTCTTGTTCAGCAGGAACCAATTATCTTTTCAACAACTATAAAAGAAAATATTATATATGCCAGGCACAATGCAAGTGAAGCTGAGATGAAAGAGGCTGCTAGAATTGCTAATGCTCACCATTTCATCAGTAGCCTGCCTCATGGTTATGACACCCATGTGGGAATGAGGGGCGTGGACCTTACCCCAGGACAGAAGCAGAGAATTGCAATTGCTCGAGTAGTGCTCAAGAATGCACCCATCTTGTTATTGGATGAAGCCAGCTCATCCATTGAATCTGAATCAAGTCGTGTGGTACAAGAGGCACTAGATACTCTGGTTATGGGAAACAAAACTACCATTCTGATAGCTCATAGAGCGGCAATGATGAGGCATGTTGATAACATTGTGGTTCTAAATGGAGGGCGAATTGTTGAGGAAGGGACCCATAATTCTTTGATGGCAAAGAATGGTTTGTATGTCAGATTGATGCAGCCTCACTTTGGAAAGGGTTTGCGTCAACATCGACTAATTTAAGGTTTGGTTTACACTGTTGAAATTTGTATTTGGTTCTTCTGTATAGTTCTTATCCTGGGCCATCTTAAATTGCCGGAAACATTTATATCTGCCAGGGTGCCTTGAATATTATTTGGTTGGAGTTTCCAGAGTGCACAAGAAGCTAATGAGAATGATGAAGCTTGTAACATTCTTTTGCATGGTGGCAGTGCTAGCTATGTTGTTCAAATGTAGGATCTAGATATAGGGATCTTGGATTTTTGTTGGCTGGTGAGAACATGCTCTTGGGGCTAGATACCATATTCTTTTTGGAGGGAAGCGTTATGTTTTGGTTTTGTTTCCATGATTGATTTGTTCATTAGTAAGAGATCGGGCAGAGGAGATAATTCTAGTCCTAGTGGGGTGTGCTTCTTGGTTTTTGTTCTCCGTCGTTAGTATTTCCCTCCTTGATGAATTTATGCAACTGACTAGCTTGGGTGTGTTTACTGTAAATTTTACAACTGTGAACTTGAAAGTTTAGAATAGGAAAAGGGGTGAGAAAACTTGTTGTAATCTTTGTATATAACCACGTGGTTAGATTGTAATCTGTTTAACTTTTACTGGCATGAATCAACTGGCTGGCTTTTAATCGGTTGTTTGTCAATTAGATAGGCGCCATTGTTATGTTTTTGCAGGAAACCAATACGATGTTTGATGTTTTGTTTTTTCTTTTCTCAGAATGGATGTTTGATGCTGTTTATTATTAGGATGGATATATATCTGATGCTTAGAAACTTAACTATGATAAATTCGATGAGGGATATGTAGGAATTTCACTTTCTGCATTTACCTACTGCTCATTACATCGTAATGAATGTTTTCCCAGGATTGCATGTTTTTCAGATGTCTGACTGATTTGATTCTGAAAACAGCCTGCCCGCCCTGAACCTAGTATTGGACAATTTCATTTTCCACAAGATTTTATATCAGTCATTCGGTGTTCATGTAGGCTGTAGCTTCACCTTTTTCCATGTCAATTGCAGTCACAATAAATATAGGCGCGCACGATAGCATCATCGTCAGTTTTATTGCCAAACCAAGCCAAGGCAAGAGTCAAGCGAAGACCAAGCAAATAAATAAAAGCATTCTTATTCCAAAAATTTGCCAGTCAAGTATATACATGTTACACATGAAAATTTCTCGTTCAACACGAACCAGTATAGCATTTTAGATATCAAGCACCTTGAAAGAGTCTGCCACCACTTTAAGCTGACTGCGATATCTTCTCCACCGTCTTTCATTTGCGCCAACTATCAGAGTGTAAAATCTCCCTGTACAGATATACAACCATTGAACAATCCAGTTTCTGAAAAGCACTTTCATCTATATCTTTTTCCTACGTCTTACACGGTTTCCTTCACTTCTGTCGGCACATGGTAGCAATTCAAGTGATACGATACTTACCATTGGCAATAACTATGGTTGCAAATGAAACACTTGAGTAGTTTGGAGATGTAAGCTCGTACTCGAAGGTGTAGTAGTTTTTTCCCTCTACGGTTTTCTGCATTCAGAAGAAAGCCATCAAAGAGATTCAGTGTGCCAGTAGAGAATGTCTCCACTGACCAAAAGCTGGAACTTTTCTCAAATTAAAATCCATCATCACAAGCTAATTCACATGAAGTTATACACCTCGTTTTCAAGAAAATTTGAAAGTTTCACGTTCATAATTTCTTGCTGCATGTGACTGTCATACTTCACAGAAGAATGACAGGTCATTGATTTTCTTAGCAAAGAGCAACTCAAAATCTTTGGCGCAGGAAGTAGGACATCAGCAAGCATTAAGAGGGTCTAATCATAGCCAGATTTGGAAGGAAGGAAGTATTTTCAGCTAATAGGAATCAATAAACTGAAAGGATAGGCAATGATACAACCTCCTGCATGCTATATATGGTTGGCATTTGATTTGGTGCTGCATACCTGTGCTTCACCAAAAAGTATATAGCCTGACATACGAAAAGCATGTCAAGTACCGTGCTTAGGCTTTAATGACATGAAAAGGGAATGAAATTAAAATCTTTCTACCTCCTCCATTGGACCCAATTCATGAATGTCTTTTTTCTCGGTTGGTATAAATCTCACCCTAACATTCTGCAATTGCTTCGTTCTGTCCTTAAATGCAGAATCATGTCCCCTGAAGTCAAAATCCTAAGAAATGGACAAGAGAAGTTGTTGAGTCTTGGAGAGCTAAACTTCATATTTACACAGTATCATATGATTGCATAACTTACTATCCAGTCTGAGGGGTAATAATATGAATACCCATCTTCAAAGTCCACAAAAGATGTGTAGTTCTTTGGTATCTCTACACAGTGCCACAATTGAGAAAGGTTCAACAAGTCATTTGCACACTAGCCGCTAATAGATAGAGATAACTACCAGTCTATAATTACCTTCAGCAAAAAGGAAATTTGCTGGGACTAAACTTGTCGTTAGCGCTCCAACTCCTAGCAGTAGCAGGCGTCTCTTGCAATTGCCTATATCACATGGATAGCATCGAGCAACATAAGGGGCATGAGTTGGTTATATAGATTACAATAAAATGGCAATATAAGACAAAAGTTTATTCAATAATTGTTCGAAAACCCCATGACAGTGCTCATATATTAGGAAGATAACTCGTAGATGATTTGCGTAGTTCAAGCAAAATATCCTAATCCTGGGAGGTGAAGTCAAATCCATCAGTGATTATGTGTATTCCAGTGGACAGCAAACACGATTCCCGTGTTGAGACGGTGTCTGACTCTACACACTCTACCATGGTACTGGCAGTGAATTTGAAGAGAATACATTAAAAAGGTATCTTACTTTCTTCATTGACGGTTGCCTCCACCGTGCATGTTACAGAGTTATTGCCAGAAAATGCTGCTACTCTAGGCAATATTTCATTTGAACCAGGGACACTTAACTGGAAAGAGGGAGAGATAAAATATACAAGAATTAGCTTTCACAACAAAGATGTGAGAGGAAGATGAACCGTAATGTGAGGAGAAAATTGACACTGACCTTTTGGGATAAGGTAGTGGAAGCCCAACTCAATGAGAGTGAAAATATTGCCATTGTTGACTACAAGAAGCGGCGGCTCTAGCCTCTCATAAGGTGATAAATACTGGATAGTGTGGTTTGGCTCTTGATGTGATATGCAGCCTGTGGTCATGCAGAGGCTATAGTTTCCCTCTCTGTTTTTTTTTTTTTTTTTTTGGTATTTATCCCTTTTGGATTTGGATTAAAATAATGAATGGATATTGGATAGTACAGGTACCGAATGGATTATGTGTTTGGGCTTTAGTCTATTGGATTAATACAATTCAAAGGCCTTATGACCATGGACCGACATGAGAGGTTCTTTGACAAGGCCACGGCCATTGCATATTTTTTAGATCATGAAGAAAGAGGAGGAATTTAATGGGCTTACTAATGGCCTTACCTTCACCGACATTGCCATTTATCTTGCTGGGTTTCGAAAAATTTGCTTTGAAGACATATAGAGCTGGTCACTTTAAGCATAATGATTTTTTTTTCCACTGTTTTGAGAAGTAATGCTCTAGTGAAGACTGTAATTACAAGCTAGCTATAAAAATATTTTTAAGCCAACTTCCACCTGCTAGCGGAGCAGTAGATTTTTCTAAGGGCCTGGATTAGGAAATTTCTTCTTGAGGGGCTAAAGTTTAATGTTTTTTCTAGTTTTAGGGTTAAAACTATAAATTGCCAGAGGGGTGGGGGGGAAATTATTGCATTTAGCCCGCTTTGTGTATGAATTTGGGCTCACAAGTAGGAGCCCAACCCACAGAAATGTTTGTGACAAAATCCAGTGGAGTTCTTCAGTGGAGAGTTGGTGACAACGGAGAGACGAAGCAGCTAGAAGAACGCAAGAAAGGACGAATCTCAATCATGGCGAGTGATGGGAGATGATGGAGGCGACACATAAATTTTGGGGCATGAAAGAAATGGTCGGTCCAATAATGAGAGTTGATGTTGTCCTTTGCCGGCAGCAAACAAAACATAATTATTTGAATGGTGCTCATAGATTTAATTTATCACATGATAAAAATAATCAATGAGAGTGATATGCAAACAAAATTTCTTGAAGGCTGCCTCTGCTTCTTGACTTCAAAATGGGACCTCGTCACAAGAACAGAAAATAAAGCTTACTAGCCAGATTAAGAGAGGTGGTTTCGGCCCTATGTGGTCTCAGGTTCGAGTCCTTGGTTGCTCATATGATGGCCACTGGAGGCTTACATGGTCGTTAACTTCAGGGCCCGTGGGATTAGTCGTGGTGCGCGCAAACTGGCCCAGACACCCACGTTAATCTAAAAAAAAAAAAAGAGGTGGTTTCGGAACGTATTTGAAATGATGTTCTTTAAAAATTTAGTATTTTTATATTTTTAAAGTACAGATATCAAAAATTATTTTAAAAAATAAAAAATAATTTAATATATTTTAAAAATAAAAAAAAAACTTTAAAAAATAACCACTAAAAAACTCGCAGTCACCGATATATTGCGCCGAGGCTTTTGCATGATGGAAGGGCAAATTTTAAAGGGAAAGTTGTGTCGTCACCTGGCGCCTTCAACGTCCGGCGTGGATAGTTTTTAAAAGTCGGCCAGCTTTAATCCTTTTGAATTGTTTAAATATGAGGCGCTTGGATTATTTAATTAGATGGCAGCCTAAAAGTAAAAACAATGACAAAAGTTCTCCACCACATGTTCACGTAGACGTAGATTATATTGGATTTATATAAATAAGTAGTAATTAATGGATTAACTTATACTATCATATGCCTTTGTCGGCATAAAAATAATATAAATTATATATCAATTCTTATCTGATAACCCTAGCTGGAGCTTTAAGCTATAAATCATAGAGCAGTGATCTCCTTAAAATAAATAAATAAAACCACCCCAAAAGGCAAATAATCAACTCTTTAACAGAAGCATGAAATCAACAAAGCGTAATTCACCACCTCATTGATATTACGATCTCGAGTTACTCAAACTGGATTATTTCTCTTTACAACCCAACGCTTGGATATAGAAATTAGTAAAATAAGAAGTTTGTGCAAGTAATAATCACTCATCGCTATCCAATCAATATTCGCTCTTCAAGCACTGTTCCTCTCAATAATTCTCTCTTACCCTGCTGGGAAATCCAAGCCGTCTCCTCCATCTCCTACTGTGAACAACCACACGGGTTTTCAAACGTGGGTCCTAAGATTTCTGTTCATCCCACTTGCCAGCATCGAAGCTTACAAAAGAAAACCTTACTTAACCCTGTTTGATTTTTAACAGTTATAATTTCGAGTTTTTTTAGATATATACAAAGCTAGTTTGAAAACTCATATTAATTTAAAAAAAAAATATTCTGTAAGTACATAAACGCTACTGAACTAATCAACTCCTGCATCTTGTTCTCTCGGCTCGATCATCAATCATCCGATTCCTCAGACAAAATCTACGAGAGTCAATTATCATGGAGACTCCGAGAGGGGCAGTCCTGCATGGCATTGATCTGCAAGGTTGAGTTATTTGCTTACACGCCTTTTCTTCCGATTGCTCTACAGTGATGGTGCAAATTATTGATGTTGGACCCCTTTTTCCACAGTATACATTATTATTATTTCCACGTGTTAATTACTTTATCAACAGTATAAGTTAGGGATGCTTGGAACCAAAGTGA